TTTGGCCGCCCCCTCCGCCCCCCGTTTTTTTCTTACCCCACCCCCGGCCCCGCTTCAACTCCGCCCCTTCCCCAAATCCCCAGCCCTGCCTCCTCCCCCCAGGCTCTCAAGCCTAGGAGGGAGGGGGAGAAGTGGTGCGCGCCGCGGCCACTCGGAGTCTCCCCCTCCCTTCCAGGTTTGAGAGCCTGGGAGGGAGGGGGAGCAGCGGCATGCGAATCAGCTGTTTTGCGCGCCGCGGCCGCTCGGGATCTCGCCCTCCCTCCCAGGTTTGAGAGCCTGGGAGGGAGGGCGAGCAGCGGCGCGCAAGCGGAGGTGAGCTAGGGCGGCCGGGGCACATTTTTAGGGGCGGCATTCTGGCGCCAGCCATGCCACCCCTAAAAATGTGCCACCCCAAGCACCAGCTTGCTTTGCTGGTGCCTAGAGCCGGCCCTGGTTCCAGACAAGGAGGTGAACCCAACCCCTATAAGGAGCTGAACCCAACCCCCTCCAACTTTGGAGCATTCCAAATCCAGATCTGGACTGGAATTTGATGTCCTGAGCCAAGCTCTATTCCAGCTCTCTAGTGTGACTCAATGGGACTGCTCACAGTCCGACTCACGGAGCTCACAGACCAAGAGACAAACAGGCAGAGGTTGGGGGGAGGGTTAGAATCCATCAGCAGAGTTGTCGAGGGGCGTCTGGGCCACATCCTGGCAAAATAAAGTTAAATTCAGCTAAATTAGGGAGCTCTTAGCTTTGGCGAGGCTGTAGGTCAGTCTTCCCGAGGGACCCTGCTGCAGAGCAGGTAAGGTCCTTGCAGATGCGCCTGGCAAGAGCATTCCCTGCACAAGGGCAATGTGGAAGAAGCCACAGGGACATGGGGAGGTGAGCTCTACAGTGGAGGGGCAGGAGTACAGCATAGTCCGGCTCCCACTGTCAAGATTACAACTGGGATTTACCAGTTCATCAGCCATTTTCCATCTCAATGGGCTGGAAATGGCCTGGTGACAAAGGAGCAAACACATTGTTTTAAATGATTACTCCTATCCTTTGCCCTTGGACAATCAGGCTGGGTTACCCAACCAGGGAGAGGAACCTTGGTCATCCATAGGTCTGTGTTCACCTCTTGCAGTCATACACAAACCCTAGGCCCCATGGCTTTAATTCTGCAGAGGTTAATCTGGTTTTAAATTCCACTGTGGCTGCCAATTTATTCCAGCAGGAGGAGCTGTTGCATTACTTGTAAATCTAGCATGCTCTTTGAGGTAGAAAGATGCTGACACAATCTTGTAGTTGCATGAAAAGACCAGTCGGTGGGACTCAGTATTCATTGTCTGTCAGCTGGGAACTTGAAAACTCAGTGCATCTGATTTCAGTGCATTTGTCCTGGACTTTAGTCCAGAGGTTCTACAGTGGGCCAGGGATAACTAGGGTGACCAGATGTCCCGATTTTATAGGGACAGTCCCGATATTTGGGGCTTGTTCTTATATAGGCTTCTATTACCCCCCACCCCCGTCCCGATTTTTCACACTTGCTGTCTGGTCACCCTAGGGATAACTGCTTTGTATATTCAGAGAGCTAATAATCCTTAGAGTTCCTTTCATCCTCAAGCACATTACAACTATTCAGTGATTAAAGCATTTCAGCCCCCTGGGGCCACAGGGGAGTTTTAGTATCATCGGATGGACAAGAAAGGTGGAGAGTATGTTTACACTGCCAAAACAAGGAGTTAAAACTTGGCTTAGCAGCTTGCGTTCATCCCCAGACTCCACTACATGCTTGTAAAGGAGAGGAGAGGAGCTAACTCGAGTCTCTCGGTCTTTGCTGCTATTTTAACCCGAGCTAGCTAACCCCAGGTAAGAACACAGCATTTTTTGCATTGTAGACAAACCCTAAAAGAGATTCATTCTTTGGCGGCTGGTCCTTCACTCCGAGAGGGACTGAGGGACCCGCTGCCGAATTGCCACCGAAAACCTGGATGTGCCGCCCCTTTCCATTGGCTTCCCCAAGCACCTGCTTCCTGTGCCGGTGGCTGGAGCCGGCCCTGAACACAACACTCACTGGACACTACACTTTGCAAACAGCATGGCTGGGTTTCTACCCTCATCCTTGTCCCAGAGTGACACACGCAGCGCCAGGAAGGGGCAGTGACAGCAGGTGCAGCTGGGAAGTTAGGAACAGCTGTGAGAGAGCTGGAGTGACCCAATCCCAGCTGCTCCAAACAGCTCCCTCCAGGCAGTCACCTAAGGTCACATGTCAAACAGGTAATCCAGGTTGCCCCAGGAAAACCATGAATCAGAAGCACTACCAAACGGCAGGGAGTGCAGTTCTTAGGTGAACTATACAGGGGTTACACGTGCTTTCCAGCAGGAGCCAGAGGGCCACGGGCTTTCAAGCAACTAAAAAGGACCTGGCTGATAGAGTGGCCATGGAGCGAGTTTACTGCCCCAGGAATGTTTTTGAGATATTGGAAAATTTTCCTGTCCCTAATCGGGATGAAAGGTAAAATCTGGAAAATTTTCATGAACCAAAGAAAAGTCGGTTCAGGTCAATCAAGATGTTTCATTTCAATTCAGACTGTTTAAAAAACATGTTTTTTATTCTGATTAGTTTGTTTCTAAATGAGACCATTTTTCAATTAAAAATACCCAGAATTGCTCATTTTGAAAATGTTTTGAAACTATTTTTTGCCGAAATTTTTCTCAAGTTGAAAAACAAAAGTTGAAATGGACCCTTTCCCACCAGCTGTTTTGGGTTGGGATGAATCAGCATTTTCAGATAAAACCGGTTCATTGGAAAATGCCTGACTAGCTCCACTTGCTAACACTGGAATGAGGGGTATTATTGCAAATACTGGCTGTGTGGATCAGAACCAAAACCCCACAGCAGAGCGCCCCTGAACTTGAGGGAAATGTGGATCTGAACTTGGAGGCTTAGGTCCATAACAAAATGGCTATTAAAATGTTTTGGTTACTAAGCCCAACCCATGAGGGAATCATCTCATAGCTACTGCCTCAAACTCTTCTCCGGTTGATCACGGTGTTCCCACACACCCAGCCATTCTTGGGTCATTTCCCATCATCCTCTTCTATGAGAGTGGGCTCCACAAACCCAACCCAAACCTGGGTTATGGGAAGCTAGAAAGCAAACCCTCTCTGACTGGTCTTGATCCGTGCAGGTTTATGTTTTGCTTCACTCAAACATCCCGCATTTCTTTGCACATGCTCCAGGAAGAGCCAAATGGAGCTTCATCCCTCTCGCCTACTGCCAGAATTGTTCTTGGCTGAGTCACGATATTCAAAAGACTCAAGGTGCCAGACCTCACTGCTGGGACTCATATCTGCCTGAGGGGAGTTAGGGCAGAATCCGAGTTCTGTTTGCAGGCGATGGACTCACTGTGCAGCTAGTCACTAAAGCCCTGTATAATTCATAGAAGATGAGGCAGGTCGTGGTACAAATATGGCTAATAAATTGCCACTGGGAGACCCCTTTTTACTGGTGGTCCCACCCCTGCGTATACCTCCTTTTCTGGAAGTTCCCAAGGATGGAGCTCCCTGAATCCATTAATACCACCAGAGCCACAAACCCAAAGGAACAGGCAGATCACACAGGGCTTGCAGCACAAGCATGACAAAAGAATTGGGAGGGGTTTTCCCTTTGGAATATGCGGGGCATTTTGGCCACTCATTTCAATCCTGCTGTAATCAATTCCTGGAAATATCACATGCACGGAAGTGGCACTTTCAGGCACATCCACAAACAGCAGCGCAACTGGCAAGTCAGAATAGGGTAGTATCCCTTTAAATAGTTTGTGAGCCTTCACCACAATTCTGTGTTTTAGAAGCCACCAGAAACTAACCAGAGCTGCCGTGTCTGTAGGCCGCATTTCTGTAGGAAATCCGCCATAAGGCACTTGCTTGAATGTCTGGATAAATCTTTCCACTGATCTGCTAGTGGCAGGATGGTAAGGAGCTGCGGTGACATGTTTGATACCAGTTCTTTGGTATCAATTGACACTCTATGGTGCTCACAAATTACTTAAAGGGATACTACCCTATTCCTACACACCCATGTTTCATCACCCTCTGGGTTATTAAGGGTGAAAAATCCTCATGTCTCACTCAGGAACACAGTGTTTGGAAGCAAGTTTCGTTTGTCCAAAAGAAACTGGGCTCAGACTGCACCCAGAGTTCAGGAGTATTCAGGTGACGGGGTTTGGTTAAGCCCACTACAAAGACAGTGATGGGAATTCACAGCTGGGCTGGGATTTTGAGCACCCAAATTTCAGGGGTGCCGGAATCAGGTTTTTGGTTTGGATCCATCTCTATTAAAAATAACAATTGTGCTTTGCACTTCTGGAGTGTTTTCCGTACAAGGATCTCAGTGCGCTTTACAGACATTAATTACTTAAGCATCACAGCAGCCCTGCAAGTTAGGACAGGATTATTGTCTCCAGGGAGCACTCTCTCCATTTTACAGAATGGGAAACTGAGGCACAGAGCAGTAAAGACCAATGTGTTCAAAAGTGCCATTGATTTGGGGTGCCTTCGTTTCTGGATGTCCCATTTGGGACATCTAGGGCCTGATTTTCAGAGGAGCTGAACCTCCCAAGTTTATATGAAATCAGAGCTGTGGGGCTGTGAGACTCAGACCCATGGGGTCTCAAGCTGGGAACCCAAAACCTGAGGCACCAAAAACCAGCAATCGCTTTTGAAAAGGTGGCTGCAAATGACTTCTCCAAAGCCACACACTGAGTGAACAGCAGAGCCAGGAACAGAGGCAAGCAAGAGGTCCTGATTATTTATTTGTTGGTCCATTCCAAGGTATCACATGGTTCTCTTTGTCCATGGCTTCCTGTGCTTTGTCAAACTGTGATCACATGGAGTTTCACCTATCAGCTTCATAGCATAGGACGATCTTGTCACCCCTCTAGCAAGCAGGCTAAAGGAGCTCCATTCAGCAAAGATGGAATGTCAGGCAGGTCATATCTCAACCATTCCTCTCAGCAGCAGGTTCCTGTTGGGCAGAGTCCCCCAGGCTGGAAGCAGAATGGGGAAGGAGGCAGTCAGTCAGGAGGGACTGGACTACACTGTGGCTTTCAGTTGTCCTAGTGGAGGAGTCACTGGTTTGGGTTTTCTGGCAACTTAGAATTGGTTTTGTTTCTTGTTCATAAAAACTGCTATCTGTAGAGGAAAAGAGAAAACCTGTTAGCAAGCTCACCCTGGGGCCAAACACTGAGCAGATGGCCCAAACCAACTCTGAATAATGGTGAAAAGAAGAGGGAATGCATCAGAGAAGCTAGAGTCCAGCATGTGGTCCCACAATGAAGAATGAGGTATTGGATTTTCAACGGATATGCCGCTTGGTGATGGAGATTTTCAAAGCACTCTAGGGGATGTAGACTCATGCCCTCCATTAATCTTAATGGAAGATGTGTTTAAATCCCCCAGACAGCTCTGAAAATTTCAACCAGCATTAACCAAACAGCTAAAGATGGCAGTCTTAACTGGATCATGGACACAAAGTTTAGCAGACATGTAACAGATGTAAAAGATTAAAAAGTGGCCCCAATTCTGAATTTGTAATTATTGAGGGCACAGATGCTACCACTTAGACACCTATTGATTGCACCCCCATGTTGGGTCATTAGGTGGGAGCCTCTCTGCTGGGAATTAACTGCAGGCACAAACTTGCACCCACAGTTACGAAGGTCAAACTGATATCTTTTTAGAAATCAGGGTTTAGGTCCCAACCTATGACTTAGCTTCCATTTAGGCATCTTCCAGTACGGATGTGCAAATAGGCTTGACCCAAACCTTCAGTCAGAAATGGAACCAAACCTTTCTTAATGTATAGAGGCAAACCCGGAGACTCTCCCCCCATCACTCGCGCACAATTTCCTTTGTCCTTCCCAATCCCAGCCAGCGCTAGAGGTGGACATGCCAAAATGCCACCAAAAAGGGCTGGTTTTGTAAGACTCTCAACCCAAGTTTGCAAACCCAAGAGCTCTGGATAAAAGCCCAGGCATCTGGGGTGGGACTTGCAGACTGGCTTAACGCTGCGTTCATTGAGATCAATGGTAAATCTCCAGTTGATTTCAATAGAAGCAGACCTAGGTCAAGGTTGGGGGCTTCTGAAGCTTCCACCCAGGGGTACGCACTAGGAATCTGACCTCAGAAGGGTCTGAGTTTGTTCAGGTTACGGAGCAGCAAGAACTTCAACTCCCACCTACCCAGCATGAGAAACACTAAGAAATTAACTAACTCAAGCAACTCTGTAACCACCCAAGATCTCTGTGGGCTGGCAAGTTCCTGTCTTGTGTATAAATGAAGAAATACTGATCTTAGCTGGGCTCCTGTTCTTCAGATGGACAATATGTTGAGCACATATTTAAGCGCTTCAGTTCCCCCAGTCTCCCCATGCTGAGGGATATATGGTCTAGGGCTAGACAGCGAGGGACATCTACTTACAGCTCGGTGTCTGCAATAACATCAGGCCTCTCCAAGGTCTGCTTCCTCCTCTGGATGGCGTCCAATATCTTTTTCCTAGGCCCCAGTGGGATGTTGATGCTCTTCAGGTCATTGTCTGAACACAGCATGAGGGCCTCCAGGTCGATCTTCTCTTTCTTCAGGATGGAGATGAACTCAAACATGTGCAGGGAAGCCAGGAAGGCCTCCAGGGGACTGGTCTCGGGTTCATTGTCATCATCCAGGCCCAGCTCCACCTCCTCCCAGGGCAGCTCCTCTGCGTTCCTCTCCTGCAGGCTGTTGGCACTGCCGATGCTGTCGTTGAGACTTGGCGAGCGCTGCAGGCGGCTCCGCAGTTTGACACCTACCCCATCCAGGTTGCCCTCGCCCAGCACGCTGGCATCCTCCTGGCCGATCCCAAAGAGCCCGCTGCTGACGTAGTTCCTCCGGAACACCATGGTGCCGAGCCCAGGCCGGTTAAACAATGAGTCATGGCCAGAATCCGTGCTGACCTCCGAGTGGGCTGAGTCTATGTGCAAACCTGGGTCGCTTATGGCACGGGAGACGGTATCTTCGTCCGTTAGAAACATGTCCCTGATGTTGCACCGGGTCCACTCCTTCGGGCTGGCATAGGTGCCCTGCTTCACAAACATGACATCGTTCCCCAGCTGCAAGCCCGACAAGGACCTCACACTTTTCCTCCCATCCTCGTAGATCTTAAACGTTCCATCCACCTGCTTCTTCTTCTCCAGCTTCTTCTGCATTTTGGTCTTGCCCTTGGCTGTGCCGTGGAGGGTGGCTTGGGAATATGGCAGGGACGTCACCATGGACATGTGCTGGAACCTCCTGCTCAGAGTGCTGCTGGAGTAGCTGGAGAAGCTCATGGTGTCGGAGTTGTCAGACATCTCCTTCTTGTACCTCTTCTCCATCCGCTCGTGGTGCTTTTTCTGCATCTTCACGCAGTCCTTGATCCTCCTCTCTGCATCTCTGAAAGCCTTGTCCTTCAGCTTGCTCACCAGCTTGGGGTTGAGACTGCTCTGCTTGGCGGCAATGGAGTCTAGGTACCGCACGCACTCCATGTGTCCCTTCATGGCAGCCATGTCCAGTGGCGTATGGTAGTCATTGTCCAGGCACCAGATGTTGGCCCCAAATGACACCAGGAAGGAGAGGCAGTTCAGATGGCCATTGGCTGCCGCTAGGTGAAGAGGTGTGTTCCCCCAGATGTCACATTTGTCTGGATCACCCCTAAAACAATGTTTGGAACAACTAATTAATGCGCGGTTCCGTTGGGCTGACCTTACCATGCAGATATGAAGTGGGGTTTAAAGAGATATTTACTAGACAATACGTTCATGCATTGGATGCCTCAACCCCCACTACCATACAAGCTCTTTCTTCCCCCAGCTCCCCTGCAATATAAGCAACATGTCTCTTAGCACAGCCACTACACCCCAGCCCATGAGTCCTCTGAAGAAGTGTTGTGAGTGTCAGGCAATCATACGCTTTACAGACAACTTTTCTGTTACCCATATTTAGCCAAAAGCTTACATTCATGCACCTGTGTCCAATTCACTGTCTTCTCTCCATGCTGGAGGGGGACCTGAGCTGAGAAACTGGGATCCAGATTCTGAACATCCTAGAGTTGGTGGGACTAGTTCTGGGATATTTGGTTGGCCTGTTATACAGGTAGAGGCCATTTGCAAAATTTAGATGCAGGTTCAAATCTCTACCATCTCCAAAATCTGATGGTGTTCCCAAAATAAGCCCTGTACTCTATGTGCACTTCTACAGATCCTCCCTAGGGTCCCCCCTGCTGGAGATGCCAGGATAAACGTCCATCCAAAGTACTGGACCTAAACCACATCAGCTGTTTCACCTTTTCACCTTCATGTGCACATGACATGAACTGCATCCCTGTCTCCTAGTTGTGCCTGGGGCACCATTCAATTGATAAGACTGGGTGGATTTTTTTTGCCTTACCAAGTTTGGTTTTCGATTGCACAGCTGAGAGCAAGTTGGTATTAGCACATCCTGAGAATCCGGTTTCAAAGGAAGTGGAGATTAGGTTTCCATCCTTCTCAAGAGCCACAGACTCAACTAATGTGATTAGCAAACTCTGTAGTGATGTCAGCACCTATCGCAGCCAGCCACTGCTGGTCACCAGGGAGTTGCCCAGTTTTGCAGCCTCCCCTAATGAGAAAGATCCAATAGGTTCTGTGAAACAGGATTTGGCCATAGAGAAAGTGCACTTGAGAATACTTGGGTGGATGTCTGAGCTCCTAACAGTCCCCTCTAGTTGCAATCTGCTGAAATGAGACACAGCTACTCCCCTTCCAGCATCAACCATGCACTTGTGTCTATGAGTCAATGAAATGCCCCCAGCATCAGTATCTGACACCTGTCAACAAGCCTGCCTCACTCACGCACAATCAAAATCACAGAACTACCAAACTACACTGCTACGCCTACTTCCCTTACAATCCTGCCTGATGAACTACAGCTGCCATTAGAGGAACAGGGTGCTCCCCCACTGCCACTGAATCACCATTTCCAAAACTTGGCCTTGCTGGGAGTGACTGAAACGGGAGCTGAGCCGCCATACAGCCAGTGCTCTGCCAGCTCCTGTGGAGGGATATAATGTCCTCCAGGACTATAAAGAAAGAGAACAGGTTGGTGGGAAGAGAAGGGAGAGACTGACACTGGAGAGGCTGAGAGCTTTCTTCCATCCTGCACTGGTGACCTCCTTCCTACAGTCACAGGGCCTCTCATTGACAGGAGCTGGGATGGAGGCACCAGACACTCCCTCACCAGCCATGGGGTAAGGGCTTGGCTCCAGCCGGTCGTGCTGAAAGAGGCTAAGATGACACCCACAAGAAGGGGCAATAGGTGTGAGCTTCCCCACTGGCTGCGCCGTTTTACCACATGGGCTGGGACTGGAGGGAGGAGAGCTCTCCCACCGCCAGCCTGGCCTGCACCATTCCCAACAGCGTCTCCTTTAGCCCTAGTGTCGCAGATTTCCCTTTCCAGCTCCCAGCCTCCCCTCCAAATGTTGGGAGCTTGGACCGACAGAGCCTAGACCACAGCTGCTCCTGCTTTCAGTTTTGCAAAACTAAATCCCAAGCAATGAGGCACCTGGACCCATCTAACCCCTAATGGAAAAAAGACATAGGGCCCAGTCCTGCATCCAGACCTGTCATTGGCTTCAGAAGGAGTGTTGTGCTCGAAAGGCTTCGAGGATCAGGCCCAGGAAGATCGTAGAGAGAAAAGAAAGGCAAAGGCTCAATGAACGTTAGGGATCCATTCACCCAGCAGCAGGGCAGGGGAGGTTTATCTTGGCTGCAGGTATCCTACCTACTCTAGAGGATCTGAGCTCCGGTGACAGGTGTACTTACTTCCTAGTTCCTCTGCTAGCTCAGACTGGCTCCCTCCACCCTAGTAATGACATGTCAAGGCTGGGAAATTCACGGGGAGGATAAATATTTGATGAATTGCAAGAGAGGAGTAAATTATTGATCCGGCTGGATTAAAGAGCCAGCGAAACTGTAACAGCCGGTGCCGGCAGTGGGCTTATCGGGGTGTGAACTGTTGTTTGTTTATGTTTGCTCTGAGTGGCCACACGTGTGTCAGAGTTGGGCCTGGTCCTCTGTGCATGGATAGGAGGGTATGGGGAGAGAGAGGGGCGTGATGGATCAGCACGTTCACATGTTATGTGTGGACTCGGAGCAAAACTCTGGTTCCAGACCTAACCACTGGACTTTGATCCAAGTATCACAACTCGGGCCCATTTCTCATGTACACGTGCTTTGGACTGCAGAGGGGGTATTTCTTGTGCATGCGACTGGCCTCTTTTGTGAAGTGCTCTTTGATCTACTGACGAAAAGTAATACATATAGAGCTAGGGATTATTATAATTATTACGCTTTCCATATGCTTTCTGTTGCCGCAGGGAGCCATTAGCAGGGGAGAAATAACACGAGGTCCAGCTGTGTCAGCCTATGTCCCGCATCCAAGAACCAAAACATTATAACTAGGGTGACCAGATGTCCCGTTTTTAGGGACTTTTTCTTATATAGGCGTCTATTACCCCCCACCCCCTGTCCCGTTTTTTCACAGTTGCTGTCTGGTCACCCTAATTATAACAAGACGAGATCTCTGCTTACTATGGCCCCATACCTGGCTCCTTGAGGCACTAGAAATGTCCATGATAAACAACTCCTTGTAAAGTGGGCACGTCCGATCCGGAGTCAGGGATAGACGATCAACAGGAGTTTACCGTCACTTACTGTTTTTAGAATCACTTCTCAAAGCAGAACCACACTTCCAGGGCATTGCACATTGTTAATGGCAAAGTCCAGGAAGTGGGAACATATTCTAATAACGGGTAATACATCGTATTTATACGGCGTGACCCTTTTCAGCGTCAAAGCATTTTCAAGTGCTGAGTCAACAATCCCAGCAATTACTAATATTACCTTTTTAAAGTACTTTTAACTGGCCCCCCTAGGTGTACATAAGCCGACATTGAGTCACCGTGCTATCTTATCACCGTACCGCTCACCCTTCCTCATTCCATCCCATTCCTTGGGTTTGTGTCGCTCCACTTGTGCCATCGCAGCTAAAATTAGGCAAACATTTACTCATGTCCTGAGCTTAAAGCACGTGTGTACTCCCTTTGAAATCAATGGGACTGCTTGCACACGGAAAGTCAATTGAATGTCGACGTGTTTGCAGGGGATTAGGGGGGGCCTGGGACTGTAAACTCTTTGGGGCAGAGGGAGTATCTTTCTACCTGTCCTGTCAGCGTAATCATTCTTATTCTTTGCCTGAAAAAGCAAAACTGTCGCCAAGATACGGTAGATTCCCCTTATTAGCAACCCTTTGGTTGCCATTATCCAGCCATTGCCAATAAGCAGATGGCAAGTTCGTGAGGCTGCAGCCAGAGAAGGAAGCACTGGGACAGGCTGAGCCCAGTCACAAGCAGGTTTGTGGGGCTGCAGACAGGTAAAGCATGTCCCAGCAGTTCCTTCCCTGGCTGCAGCCTCACAGACCTGCCTGCAGCTGGGGACTTTCTTCCGAAAAATGTTCTTAATAAGCGACATGCCATTGCCAATATCCAATCCCAGTAACCTTCAAGTCAATGGGATGGGAAGGGTTCCCAACAAATTGTGGCTATTAACTGGAAGTTGTTAATATCTGGGTTGCTATGAAGCAGAATCGAATCACCCTCAGGTGGATTTCACTCCCTCAGAAAAGACTAGATAAAATTGGAATCCAGGGAGAGCATGTGAACACCTCCAAACTGGATCCAGGGTTTTGGTTCTGTCCATGATAAACGTAGGTTTGGGTCTGGATCAAGCTGTGGATGTTGATCACTTGGGAGTTCTGGCGCTTTTGAAATCCAGAACTGGATTCTGTAGCTTGAACCCATGTCAAGGCTTTGCAGAGGGAACGGATCTTTCTTGTACTGGTTAGTGCTGTATTTTAACAGGTGGCTGGGATGTTATTATTTATTATTATGTATGATTTGTATTGTGGTAACGGCTAAGAGCCCTAGTGATGGACCAGAAGCCCAATGCAATAGATGCTGTACAGACACAGAACAAGACGACAGTCCGTGCCCATGTCTATTACTATATAGCAACAGTGGGGTCTAGTTGACTGGGGAGCTGGGAATTCCTGAGATCAAATCTTGACTCTGCCACTGGTGTCAACTGCTGGTGCCATCTGTAAACTGTGCTGGACGTAAATTCCATGAATTAAAACTTGATAGGGAGCAAATATCTCAGGGGATGATACAGACTCTTTCACCTCTATGTTACCAGTTCAACTCTGGCCCTGGGGTGGGGGTGGGGGTGGTAACAAAAGGTTATTCCAAGAGCTGCATGGGAATTTTTTTCTCATCAAAAATGTTGATGAAAACTTTTTTTTTTTTTTAATTTTCATTGGAAATCTTCATGGTTTCTTTCTTGGTTTTTTTAAACTCATCATTTTTTGAAAATTCCTCTGAAAAGCCCTTTTCTAGCCAAAATGTTTGATCTGGGTAGAATTTTCAAAAGCACCAAAGTGACTTAGGAACCTCATTCCTCTTTTCCGAAGTGACTTAGGCACTTTGGAATCCACATTTCATTGAAAGTCGATGGCACTTACTCTCCTGAGTGCCAAAGGGTACATCTCCACTGCAGTAAAAAAACCCAGCAGCACCAAGTCTCAGAGCCAGGGTCAATTGACTTGGGCTGACGGGCCTT